TCAGAATCAGCACTCTGCAGTAGATGCGAACAAGAAGATGAGAGAATCCTCTTCCCTTGCCCAAGGCTCTCAATTATCATAAGATTTGTGTTCAGCCAGCAATGGCTAACACCGGCCGACATAAACACTTCTCGGCGACGTTGTCAATTACATTAAATTTGTAGGCTCGCTGACAACCTAAGAGGGGCCTCTTAATTCAGGAAGATGCACAATAGGTCTAGTGAGGCCTAAGTGCTGTAGGACAATCCACCCTCCAATAATATAAATTTTTACAGAACCATCATCAGATATATTTTTAATCGACTTTAAAAAAGGAGGAGGTTCTCAATTCGTCGGAATATTTTTTTAAATGTATGTTAATCGATAAATCTTTAACACGTTGTTCAGTTTCAATGATTTTTTTGTTAGAAAGGGGGTACCTCAGGGGTGGTCCCATATAAATTTGGTCAAGATGTGGTGAAGGCATCTGCACGATTTTGATGTCGGTTTTTAAAATTACTTTTAATACTTGTTATTTAGATTTTTGGTGATCCTAATGAAATTAAGTATTATACGCTTCCCTATAATAAATATTTCAGGTACTTTTATGAATACCTCCTTTTCACAACTAAATAAATTTATCTAAAAATTTAAATATAAATTTTTATCACTTAAGTGAAAAAATCGACGCACCGTAACACGCATATTTGATGACGCGCCCGCAGCGAATGTGTTAAGCGTTAAAATAAACCTGAAATGGGTAAATAATTCATTATTCCCGAGACTACAGTGTTGCCGAATGTGATGGGCTTCGTAATGGTGGTTTGTTTAACATGATCTGTATATAATCGCGTTTGACTCTTGCGCCCTCTGCCGCTGAAACCACTGAACTACAGGCGTATATTTGGAGGTATTTTCCGACATTTTGAAGCCCACCCTTTTTTTCTTAAACGATAGAGATGGGGTTACTTGCCTCTAAAACGAATTTATACACTGTGTTTTTAGGAAGCCCGAAATCGGGCTTCGTAAGTGACTAGTGGGCTTCATATATCATTTGAAATGTAACGTTTCGGGCTTAGTAATGTCTAATTGCATGTATATATATATATATATATATATATATATATATATATATATATATATATATATATATATATATATATATATATATATATATATATATATATATCTGAATGAAATTAACGCCGCTAGTAAAACGGTTTCAGCACAGAATAACCTACCTTTACAAAAGCGAAGGCTAGCTAATTTTTAGGCTCCAAAATGTATGCCCATTTTATAACTGACAATACTGTCATATCACATGCGAGTGTTGTTTTGATGTGTCAGGATCAGTCATTTGCTTTTTTTGATTTTTTTTATCGAATTTAGTGTGTTTTAGTGTTTTCCTTTATATATTTTTTAACAATTATTGAGTAAATCTTTGTTTAGTATTTTCCTTTGTCTATTTTAAGAACATTGTTTAGTAAACCTGTTTTTAATCGAAAAATTTTTGTGGTATGTGTTGAGCTATTTACATAGTTTTATTTATTTTATTGAAGCAAAATAATTTTTTAGTGAACTAATGAAATCTAAAAGAAAGAGATGTACTTATCGCCTATGTCTACATCGAACGGATTCAAATACCAGTTATTTTTCATTTCCCAAAGTTCCAGAAAGGTATGCAAAATAAATTATGCAATTTAAATGAGGAAAACTGATAGCTCTACCTAACAAATAATTTAAATTTTGATCTAGATATGCAAATTTACCAACATTATGTGCTACGTTTGAAAAGTTCCTCTTGGAGCGGAGTGGAGCTAGTAGATTTTTTAATCACTTGATAATCGAGCTTATGTGGAATAAAAGAACGGCTATGGATTTGTTTATGTTTCCGCTTTCCATTAAAATAAACTAAAACCTTTCTTTTAAATCAAATTTGATTTCTCGTCTCGTGGTTTTTGTTGCAAGTTGCAAAATAAACTTAATTTTTAGCTGTAGTATTTTTCGCACTAGAAAATAAACTATGTTCTCATTTTCGTCTGACATTTTTTATAAATATTTTTTTGCTCTTAATAACCATATATGTAAATAAGATGGAAAAGAATAAACTGTAACAAACAAGAGACAACGGACAACTGTCTGTACATCTCACAATGAACTGTATATTTAAAAACAGTTCACTGCTTTTTTTTTGTCAATTGTCACAGAAATTACATTTACTCCGAAAACTGAAAAATTTAATATGGAGGAAATAGCTCTGCATTCAAAGACCATGGAGCAGATCCCATCGAGAAGCCACAGATGTATTAAAAGAATGGCTTCGAGTAAAACGAGGTACTTTTCAAATGCAGCAATGTTAACTGTATATTATTTATTTGGCTGTTTAATCAAACCAATTATTATATTAACATGTTTATGTTTTAAATCAAATTATATTTATGTACTTATGACAATGTATTTTGTATTTTTTTAGGGCTGCCATGTGGTTAAGAGCCTGTAATCGAGAAGACTTGATTAATGTAACCAGTGAATAATTACACAAAAACTACCAGTTGTGTGAAAAACATTTCCAACCCAGTATTTTTTCAGTTGGATCAACTCGGAAACATTTGAAAATGTACTTCTGACAATATTTTGGCACACACTCGCAACAAATGAAAACATTGATCGTTTTGAAAGGGTCTGTGCCCTCAACATCTACTACTAAATCCCATGACGACTTTTTCAGTACATCAGGTATTAAAAATAATATAAAAGTTTTGTGTTTATGTATTTTTTTAATTTAAATATTTTTTTACGTCTCAGAAAGATTGTTGTTTTTATTTCGATAACGCATGTGCCAATCCCCAAAATATCTCCTTCGGCTGGGCCACAATTTTTAAACCAACCATTTGCAGATGTAGTTAAAGCTCAAGCGGAATTTAAAAACAAAAAGCCTCTAGCTAGAAGACATTCCAATGAATACAAGCAGTTTGTACTTACCTTGTATTTACCTTGTATTTTTTAGGACCTAGGGCATATTCCTTTGTCTAAAATGTTGTGTGTATTTTTTATATTGAGATTTTTCGTAATTTGGATTAATTAAAATTAATAGTGTGGGTACGTGTTTTATTTATAACAACCTTTTTCCTACAGTACTTTTCTTCAAATCTCAATTTAATTCAAAGTTCTAATAATTATGCATCTAACAATGCAATATATGTGTTCAACAAATGCATATGACTTATAAACAAAACCTAAATCCAGTCTGGATTTATGACATACAGCTATGAGGATGTGCCATGATATAAGATTTCTAAAATAAATTCCTAAGATGCATCGTTGATGCACCCTGGTTCTATCTAAACGATTATCTTCATACAGACATAGATGCCAACAGTCAAGGAAGAAATAAGGAGGTTATTGCAAAACATGAGGGTCGACTCCACTCTCAGGTCAATGAAGTGCTGCAGTTACTGGACAACTGCACTCAACAGAAGACTCCAAAGAAACAAAAGCCATTTGAGCTAGTGCAGTGAATGTTAGTGCTAGTGTAAAACACTGTAATAAATCGTTATGCCAATTATTGGTGATGTTTCTCTATCAACGACGAACAACTACTAGACTAATTTTGTTTGCAAAAATTGAATTGCAACCAATCACGGATTTATCCACCGAGAGAATATAGCGAAAGTCTTTAAAACACATAAAAGGCTTTCAAAATTACAATTACATGTAATAGGTAGGTTATTCTGTGGTTTAAGGCCTCGTCACTTCAACCTTTTTATGCTTCCAGTTGATATGTTTGTGTAAAGAGATTTTGTTTATATTAGGCTTAACAGTCTCCATTAGATCCTTCTTGAAAAAAGCTTACAGACTATATAAAGGTAAGTTTTAACTAATTTATATGTTGATATATCCATTACAAATTACTTTCAATGCATATAGTATGTTTGAATATTCTTAGCGTAAGAAATGATAGAAATTACATTCATTTTTTTTAGATAGGTGTAAATTTTTCCCATATTGTGATGTTTGTTTATTTTAAACAACAGTTTATTTGTTAATAATTTATTTAAACAATACTATTCTAATTTATATATATTTTGAAGTCTTTAAATTGTTCACTATTTATCTTCACAACTGTTTGTATACTACTGACTGCTCCATGTTCCTCCACCAATATTTATATACACATTTAAAATTATGGTGGTGGTAAGAACTTTCGATCTTACCAAAACTAGAAACATCACGTTCTAGTACTCGAAAGCGCCTTCGCCATAGTCGTCACATATGTTTGGTCTTAAGGGGTTTAATTATGTATGATAATCGGACAAGTTGAGCCTCAAAAGCCAAATAAGACAAAGAGCGACTTGGAGGATTAGAACATGACTGAATAATAAAATCGCTCGCATTACAATATTTTTAAAAATAAGTGAAACTCTGCCCTAATTTCTATTTTTTGACATCCTCCGTATATTGTAAAAAATTTGAAATTGATTACTTCAAGTGGTGAAGGATGCCACCTTTAGGAATATAACGGAAGAGTTTCAGAAATATTAATTTCTCCTGATTTTAAAAAGTACATGAAATGGCTAAAACGGACCTGCAAAGGCACTTTGTGTGCAATTTCACCAGTACTCCTGTGACGTAATGCGCAAATTCAATTTGGCTTACTTTTGTCAATAGGGATTGTTGTTCCATTTTAAATATACAGTTCATTGCTGTCAAGTTTTCATTACTATTAAGAAACTGGACAATTTGAAAAATCTTTGCTTTGGTCATTTGAAACCGGAAATTACATTGTAATTTGCTCATATTTTGTTTAAGATCTTACAATGCAGAAATGAGGTTAAGTAATTTTGTTTGTAAACAGAATTAAACAACTGACAAAGTGGCAGCTTTTCCACTCTACAGCAGGAAAGATGTCAACCAACTATATATCGTTAAAAACGTCAACTTTCGGGTAGGACAGAAAAATATTAAATTGCTTTTTCTAAATAAAAACTACTTTAACTATTTTAAGAGAAAGTTACTCATACCTTTATCTCCAATTGACTTCCTAACTTCTTTATTACTATTTCTATTATCTATAAGTACAACAAAATTGTCTGGAAATACTCCAGTTTTTCCATTTAATTCACCATGCCACCAGCCTGGATCCGGACATTCTTTGTTTGTTATAGTTATTAAATCACCTTCTTGGAATGACAATTCATCCTCATTCTGTGCTTTATAGGGGAAGGTGGCTTCACATAACTGTTTACCTAAAAATAATTGATAACCTTCGATATTGTTGGAAAGATTATCCATTTCATAAAATTTGTAAACAAGCAATTTCTAATAATATCGTTCAAGGTAGACTCAAAATTCTATACTAAAAACTGATTTGGAAACATTGGAATAATAATTATCCCTAATATTTTAACTATTTTGAAAATGTCAACAAATAATGTGTTACAAATTATGAGTACCAGGCTGAAATTTTTTAGATACAACAAAACTGCTTGAATATACAAAACAATCTTATTACCTATAATTTATTAACGTATATGCATTTCTTCTAATTACAAAATAGAGTATTAATTAATAAATAATAAACTTAGAGATTCATGCAAAAGAAAATTTAAGGAATTTAAGATACAGGAATGTTTAATTCTTCTGTTATACATAAACGTATTTTAGTTAAATAATATTATACATGTTTATGAAATACATGTACATATTAAAACAGGCAGGTATAGGGACCGTGAGAAATGAAATCTTGAACCGAAAATGATTTTTTTTAAAGTTTTATTTTACTTAAAATACAATAAATTTAGATGTTAATGTTTCGAATGCTAACCAGGAACTCACTTTTACTGATTAAAACTACTTTTATATAAACAACTATTTAAAAATGCTAACTATGCAAAATGGTATATTTGATATATTCTTCATTAGTATGGGTGATATAACTCGTGCGTCATGACTTTAGCAACAAACACATCACTTTGGAAACCTGGATTTGATTCGATAGTAAAGAAATTTTATGAATTTTCACAGAGCACACTTAGTGTCTTACAACCAATAATATACATAATCACATAGATCCATTATCTATATGTAAATCAGACCACGAAAAGCTTATTTCACTGGGTAAAGTTTTTTTATTTATCTTGTATTAATTTTGAGCACTTAGTTGTAAACAAATCATTTACAGAACCGGTTTAGAAAAAATAATCTTTAGTGTTTTCTTGTCATTAAGATTTTTACATATTTAAATGAACATTTTATATAATAAAACTAATTTTAAATGTGAAATTAGAATGTCCAATTTGTCAAAAATATCATAGCCCTCATTACAATTTATTAAATATTTTTCATTTATCACTAAAATAAACAAATCATAATTAATACATTGTAATTGCTGTCAAAAGAGATTGCAACAAACTTTAAAATATTAAAAATCCAGTGATTTTATTTTTCAATTTTTTATTAACATTACCATTAAACATTACTCAGAATAATAGATAAGTGTCCAAATATAACTCTTACCAAAGTTGTTTATATCTCATATCAAAGTTGTTTACATTACCTTTTCAAAGTTGTATTACATATTGCAATTATGTGTTTTATATAGTGTTATTTCTGAAATAAAAGTGGTCTAAAGGACCAGGCACCTTTCTTATGGAGAAATGGCGTACGGTCAAATTTTCTAAAATTTCGCTAGGTGATAGTAATCAAAGTGTAAAATCTTTTCATTACAGGGTGATTCGAAGATTTAGGGAAGATATATTTTTTTTTAATTCTAAAATCTTTATTAAAACAGCGAAGCAATTACTATCCTACACTTTTTAGTATATTCAAGGTTCTCAAACTCAAAGCGATCTATTTCAAGGTTGAATTATACAGGGTGACCCAGAAAGAAGTCTAACAAAGCATTTCTTGTTTATTGCTCCATGTGCGAACCTACGTGTATTTCTCTCGAGTTGGATTTTTGAAAACCACCTTTAAAACAATTAGAATACCCTTTACTATATATTATACAGGGTGATACTTCCATAATAATTATTTACTGCAAGTAAAATTGGTAAAACATCACAGTTTTCTGCACCACCCTGTATAAAAAGATGAGTCGGTCAAAAATTTATATTTTTATTTCTATAAAGTATAAATTATATAATCTTTAGAGTGTAAAAGATTCATTTTATTTGTTTGACTAGTTTAAACTGTACGGAAATCTAAACACAACATCTACCAATAAAACGGAATTCTTAGCTCGGGACATCTTATAATTTTTATCCTAATAAACCAAAAGATAAAAATAGTAAGAAATGAGATTATATAAATCTAAAACCGTAGCAGTTTGTTGTTATTACGGTATTTAAACTCATTACGCTATATTGCAGTAAAAATATTATATAAAAGAAAAATTATTTTATTTAACATTTTTAAGAGCCTTTCTAAAAAAACAACGTTAAATTTTGAACTTTTTTTATAAACCATAAAATACATTAAAAAAATTTTAGGACCTACTGTTTCTACAAGTTCTTTTGCATCCCAAACATTCTAAAAGTCGTTTGGATGGATACTTGGTATTTTTACATTTGTTTTTATATTCCCGCACAAGATTTTAGTGTTGCAAAATATTTTTCAGTACTTTTATATTGCAAACATTCAAAGATTGTCTATGAATTGCCGTGTGAATATTTTTCTTGTTTCAAACATATATGTTGTAACTTGTAACCACCATCTCGATCAACAAGGATTTCTTCTTAGAGAGTTACAGAGTGGTTTGAGGTTTATTAATAAACTATATATTATTAATAACATCCAACAATTCCTGCAAACTATAAGAACAGTTGCAAATTCTCAAGAAACGAACAAAAACCTGGGAAGATATAAACAGCTTCACAGATTAAGAATGCAAACGCTAACATCACTTTCAAAAAAGAGAATTTAGAGATGTTTACGAAGTTAGTGGTAATATTCAAAATTGTGGCAGCCAAAGTTAAAGAAAAACACTAACTTTTTTGGTGAAATGGTCACCTTAAATCTATATTTAAGTTTTTCAAACAGACAATTTCAACGCATCATGCAGCCCATTTGCATGATTTCTATTTGATTGCTGGAGCGCTCCTAAATAAACACTTTCCCTTAATTCAAATTGAGGGAACAGCTGAAACTGGAAGACAACTGGTAGAGAGATTGGAAGAATTGAATGTAGTTCATGCTAGAGTATAAGCTAAAAATCTAAGGCACCAAAATGGTCAGTGGGTTCCCCTTAACAATGGACATATTCCCTGATTAACTCTACAATACCTTCAAACAATTTCTGGTACATATCACGTATATTTGTCCTCATCATAAATACAGGAAACTATTCAAAACAATGAAGCTAATGTTATTGAAGTTGATCGGGTATTCTATGAAGAAGGCTTTTTAAGGTTTAGGGTATTTTCTCGATTTAGGAATAATACCAAGTATATGACATGGATAGTTTATAATAATGAACCACAAAATCCAGATGACCCGCCCATATTATTCTATTATTGCACATGTAAGTCTGGTGCAAGAACTATTGGATCATGTGCCCATGTAGCATGTATACTATGATTTTTAGGATAATCGAGTCATCTTGAAAATATCAAATATCCATCCACACGACTTTTCGATTGTGTTTGGGATGCAGAAGAACTTGAAGAAGCAGTAGGTCCTGAAATAATTGAAGATTAATGTGCTGATCTGTTTTTATATTTTATTGTTTATAAAAAAACTGCAAGTTTTATGTATTTTTTTTTAGAAAAGTTTTTAAAAATGTTTGAATAAAATAATGTTTGTGTTATTAGAATGTTTTTACTGCAATATAACGTAATAAGTTTAAATACCGTAACAACAACAAACTGCTACGGTTTTAGATTTATATCTCATTTCTTACTATTTTTATCCTTTGGTTTGTTCGCATGAAAATGATAAGATTTCCTGAGCAAATAATTCCGTTTTGTTGGAAAATGTTGTGTTGAGATTTGAGTACAGGTAAAACAGTCAAACAAATAGAATGAATATTTTACACTCTAAAGATTATATCGTTTTTACTTTATAGAAATAAAAATATTAATTTTTGACAAACTCATTTTTTTTATACAGAGTGGTGCAGAAAACTGTGATTTTATACCAATTTTACTTGCAGTAAATAATTATTATGGAAGCATCACCCTGTATAATATAAAATAAAGGGTTTCCTAATTGTTTTAAAAGTGGTTTCCAAAACTCCATCTCAAGATAAATACACATTGATACACACAAAGCAGTAAACAAGAAATGCTTTAATAAGCTGCTTTCTGGGTAACCCTGTATAATTCACTCTTCAAATAGATCGCCTTGAGTTTTAGAACATTGAATATACTAAAAAGTGTGAGATGGTAACTGCTTCGCCATTGTAATAAAGATTTTAGAATTTAAAAAAATATCTTTCCTAAATCTTCGAATCACCCTGTAACGAAAAGATTTTACAAAAAGTTTTGTTAGGTGAATATGTGGTATAAGAATTAAAAAACCACATCCAGCATAGAAAACCTTAATTGTTGTACCCAGTTTACGATTGCGGCGTTATGAAAAGTGGCTATTTCAGAACTTCAACACGCTGTGTATCAAAAACTAGCTATAGAATTGGATTGGGGCCATGGACACTTTTGGTCACTATGTAGACTACTATCACCTAGCGAAGTTTTAGAAAATTTGACTGAACGCCATTTCTCCATAAGAAAGGTGACTGGTCCTTATTTGTTATAAAAATTGTTTAGGTCTCTTAATATTATTTAACTACACAGAAACTCAACTTTCAAAATACATAATAACATGTCTTTAAAATTTTAATTTTCTTTTTCTATTTAGTGGGCACTAGGAAATGCAATATAGCAGTGCACATTGCAACCCGCTTTTCGTAATCTTTTTTATAGACGGGTGAGCAATCTATACATTTATGTACAACATAAACGTCTAAGGTGGATGGATGACATTTCGACTAACATAAGGCTAAAAAGAATTATTATTATTCTCAATCATTTTTATTAATTTACATTTTTTAAATGTTATTGTAATACTTTTTAATTCACTGTTACTAAATACCAATATTTTGACATAGGATACACTTGCTTGAGGTACAACTTTACAATTTATTGTCACTCGGCCATTAAAATGTTTTTGCTCAAAATGTATACACATGTCCAGATTTTAATAATTTTTCACATTTTATATCATTTTGACCATGTACACAATTGTTTGTTACGGGCCGGTATCTATATTTAATATTTTAAAAAATATCCTTTATTATTTACTTGCAATGTTTACCCCATTTAATTCTAAAATTAAACACTAGATAGGGCTAACTTCGGCCTCTATATTTCACACACAGTCCCTATGATGTTCCAAAACAAACGTCAATAAATTTAAATATTAATGTTGTAACTTACAGTATGACAGATATAGCTGAAGTCGCCAAGACCAGATGCGCAGTGGATCTTAAAACATTGTAATCAAAGTTATGAATTTTGAGACGTTGCCAAATATAAGTACCAAGTACCATACTAAAATTGCATTCTGAGTAAAAATGTACATTCTGTTCTGAAATTTCCACCAGAGAAAGCAGATGTAACATGTCATAGAGTACAAATACAATAATTTATTTAATAATATGAGTACTATTCCTTTTGGGCGAGTTTTTGGGGTCATACATATTGGGTGTTCTCATTTTCCAAATGCACAAAATATTCTTTTCCTTTTGTCTTTTCTTTTTGTAATAAATATAATAAAAAAGAAACATTCTTGTAATCTTGGAATATAGTTTTGTATAAATTAAAATATAATCATATACTAAATAATCAAAAAAAAAAGGAACAATTTTGGCACAGTAAATTAGTATAAATGCTTTGAAACTTACTAGGTTTAGCAGGTAACTTAGGAGGTTTACTTTCATTTCCATTTTCTAAATTATTTGAGACCCGAATTGACGGACTTGGTTCCCATGATATTTCCTTTACAAAATTGGAAGGGAACACACCTATTTTTCCCTTCAGGGCTCCTTTCCACCAACCTTCTTCTTCCTCGCCAACTATATCAATAACATCCCCTACTTTCAAGTTCAATTCATCCTCATGATCCTGGTTGTATGAAAAGATAACTCTACATTGACGAATTCTGGTTACGTCTTTCTGATTTCGTAACACTACGGATGAATCTTTGTCTAAAGGACGGACAAAATTATCGGGAAACATCCCTTTCTTGTCTTTAAGTACACCTTCCCACCAACCTCCCTGCTTTTTCACAACATCGGTAATAATGTCACCTTTTCTTATTGTTAATTCATCTGGTTCTTTGGCCATGTAATCATATTCTACTATTACTTTATCTGAAAGGAACAAAAAAAATTCCAAATACAGAATGCAATTTAATAAAAGGTCTGCATTTTAATAGTAGTTTTCCAATTATTATTAAGCTTTCAATGTAGGGCTATTTTTAAACCTGTCTGAAGAGCATTAAAAATCTTTTAAAAATTAGTGAAATAGATAATTAAAAAAATGCATAAAATTAATTTAATACTTACAACATACACAAAAATATTTTAAAATGCTATTTTACTAGAATAATTTTTCGAATTAGACAATTGCAAAAGTAAATTTTCCATTTAACATAAAAAGAAAATAAATAAGCTACATTATATTATCTTGCAAACAAGTATTTTATGACACTTCGCAGGTATTATTATTCGCCCCTTTTTACTGAACTGATGTTTGTAATGTTTTGATATTGTGTAAATAAATTATTATTATTATATAAAAACTTAATAACAAAAATTATTGTACTCAAAAAATGATTGTTTTAAAGAGATGACAGTTAAATATAGACCTGCATAACTCAACAAATCCTAAAATATGATTTATAAAAAAATATAATACTTTTTATAAATTATATAAATGCTTTTTTCTTCAACTACTCTGTGTCAACAGAACTGAAATTTAATTTCAATTAAAAAACTGCAGTAGTTATTAGTATTATGTTTCTTGTTCATCTTCAAAAAAGGAAATTTTGTATTTTTGATAGAAAACTGACAATATACTTACACACTTTTCAAATTGAGTTCTTAAAAATAATTTAATTAACCATTATCAAAAACTACTTATTTTTTAATCCAATATACTTAGTTTATACATTATTTATTTTTAGAATTGACTTGCTTAATGACAAAACACAACTGCTGTGTTTTGGGTCCCCACAATCTCAAGACTTTGATGTAACCATTAACAATTCCATCACATGTATTAGCAGAGTATGACTCAGATGATGTGTCATCAGTTATTAATTGAAGAAAAACTATTACTTTGCTAATACCAATCTAACCATTGAGGCATTGCCATGTATCACAATATCACAAACCACACAACTAAAATTCATTTTAACTAAATTTTACTAAAATAAGTATTTAAAATTTAAATTGCTAAGTTATGAAGTACTTGTTTTGTTTTATTTGAATAAATAAACAGTGAAATTAGATGATGTGTTAAATGTTTTTGAAGGTAAAGCAAAAATATATAAATGAATTATTTGGATTCAACAGTGTTATGATGTTTTGAATCAGTTTGAGATATTCAATCAACATTTTTAATCAAAAAAATACAACAAATACCTCAAAACACTAATCTTTTTTTTAATCATAATTTTACATATTGATGTAATTTTTTTATAAATCTAGCACACTGGTGTCATCTTGATGTTATAATGAATTAAGTACCTATTAAACCTTGAGGATATTTACACTATTATTTCCTAAGAAATATTTATTGTATATTAATAAAGATTGTATCTTAACTAAAATTTATATCTAGTAAAGCTTGGAAAATATATTTGATGTGTCACAACTATTGTAATTATTTATAAATTAGATACCCACTTAAATAAATAGTCAATTTGACTAATGAACTCTTTTATCATAAAGGTAGAGTATTATTTACTTTTTATCACATAATTATTGTTGAAATACCTGTAGTTAGATATAAAATAAACAAGCAACCACTGGCAAAATAACAAGTAGCTTATGTATGTAGGTGCTTTAATGTCTATAATAAACAACCTTTTCTTAATGGGTACAATTTCTGTGAAATGTGAAAGTATAAATAATAAACACAAAGTAAAATGCATATTCAGAGTATGAAGTTAAACTCAAATCTAGTTGTCACCGTTTCAGAATAAGTAGGTTGTGGTAAAGCAGTAAAATGTTATAAAATTTACAAGCTACTTTTTTTGTGTTCCCATTTAAAAGTTCACTTTCCACACAATTCTATAAACAAAAAATAAATAAAAGTAATTAAAATACATACTCATATTGGGTTTAAAATATTTTCAGCCACTCTTTTTACAAAAAACTATAAAAAGCCAAGCCCTTTATCATCATACTTTGATGAGTTAGCTCCTCCTTAATATATGATCATAAAAGATAATCCTAATTTAATTCTTCCCAATACATTTTAGAGATAACGCTAGATTACCATTATCAGTCATTCTTTATTTCCTTTTCTACTTTTATGTTTCTTTATCTTCTTCTTCTTCTTCTTTTTGTTTTTTGGCCTCCACCCTTTGGGTATTTAGCCAGCGCAGGTAATTTAGCTTATTATTTTTCGGGAATATTCATTAAAGAACGTCTGGAATTTTCCATCTTCCCATTGGAGAAAATCCATATTCACTCTTTTCCATTGATTGTATTAATACTTGATACATAGGCTAAACATGTTAAAAGACAACACAACAAAGGTATAAACTTTTCTCGCTCGGGGGCAACTGCCGAGCATCTACACAAACCCAGAAATGTTGCCTCGGATAGATAGAAAAAGCACCCAGGTTAAATAGTTCAGGAATTATTCTGGAATTAACAAGAATATATATATATATATATATTTATTTTTTTTTTTTTTATTTATTTTTTTTTTTTTTTTATTGTATATTAAATTTTTATTTTAAATGTGTTAATAAATTTCATAATAACTTTAATAACATTTAAATTTAGGTGATTTAAAATACAAGGAAGTGAGATAGGAGAAGTGCAGCCTATTTTAATCAATTCTCTATATAAATCAAAATTAAAAGTAATGTTCAAGGGACACTCAAAAAATATATGATGTAGACTTTCAATTTGACCACATTCACAGAATGGGTCATCGCTGCACCCAATTTTAAAAAGATGAGCTCGGCAAAGGGTGTGCCCAGTCTTCAACCTAATAATAGTTGTAATATGTCTGCGATCAATGTATGGAAATTTCAAAAACCAAGCTTTATGAGGAAAGTCCCCCTGATTTGGATAACATTTCCCTTTTTCCAAAAAGGATCTACTCCAGATAATGTTGTGCGCATTAAATATTCGTTTTTTAAAATAAGGAAAATAATCATGCCTGTCTATTTTAATATCAGCTGGAACATTCAAAACTCTACCTATATTAGCCAGATCATCTGCCTGTTTGTTACCCATTACCCCCATATGACCTGGGATCCATGCTAGAATGAACTCAAACTCAGCCCTACTAGCGTCCAATAATAGTCTTTTGGTTTTTAAGGCATTAAGGTTATTATTCCCATATTTTTTGTGTTCAATCATTCTAATTGCGCTCTGAGAGTCTGAAAAGATTATACATTTTGTTAATTCTTTCTCTATGCATACCACAATGGCTTTATTGATAGCTAAAATTTCAGCAGAACATATTTGTGTATGGTCAAGTAGCCTAGTAGAAAAGTTATATTTAATATCAGGAATATGAACTGCACAGCCTACACTATGATCTATAGGATTTAATGAACCATCAGTGAATACCCAAGTATATGACATAAATTTATCCGCAAATTCATTTAAAAAACATTGATTACTATAAATACCATTTTTACTTGCAGCTGAAAAGACTGTTCTTATTCTATCGACTTGATCAGACACTTCAATTTGGAAACACGGATTTACATCTGTTCTATACAGGTTAGTAATAACATGATCTGCTACAATTTTAGCTTCAATTAGGTAAGGGGGGTCCCTCACTCTCCAAAAACCAATCCTAGCTCGATACATATCTGACAAAGAATCTAAAATTGCATTCAGGGGGTTGTTATTGTCCGATCTTATTTTCAAATAGAATTTAATGGCTAACAATTGTCTCCTATATTCAAGGGATATTTCACCAGATTCAGCAAGTAGGCAGTTGATTGGTGTTGATTTCATTACTCCTGTTACTAACCTCAAGCTTTTGTATTGTACCCTATCTAATATATTTAATATTTTTTTACTACATGGTCTCAGAACATAATATGCATAATCTAGGTGAGATCTAATTAAACCTTTGTATACAGAAAGCATAGTGGATGGATCTGCTCCCCAATGGATACCTCTTATCGCTCTCATTATATTTAATCCTTTTTGAGTTTTATTTTCTAGCTCTTGTACATAAACATTCCAATTTAATCTATTATTTATTGAGACACCTAAATACTTAACATTTTCTTTAATTACAATTATATTATTTTTAATTCTAATATTAGGGCTTACCAATTTCCTATTTGAATTATTAAAAATTACAGCAGAAGATTTTAGTGGAGAGATTTTGAGTTTGTGACTGTCTAACCATTCAGCGACATTATCCAGAGTAAGATTTATTACATTGATAGATTTTGCTATTATATCCCCTTCTATCATAAGCACCAAGTCATCAGCATATTGAATCATTTTAACATTATCCGGAATAATATCGAACAGTGAAATCATATATATATTAAATAGAAGGGGGCTCAATGGTGAACCTTGAGCCAGACCTTTACTACTTAACTCAGGACCAGTTAATTCATAATTCATATCCCTAACATATATTCTCTTATTATATAGCAAATTGAAAACTACATTTGTATAATATGAAGGGATATTAAGATCTAACATTTTCCTATAAAGAATATGGATGTCTACATTATCGTATGCCGCTTTAAGATCAAGGAATACTGCAATTAAATGATTTTTTGAACTAAAAGCTTTTAATACTGAGTGTGACAAGATTGCAATTGCATCACTACATCCCCTTTCCCTTCTAAAACCCATTTGAAATTTTGGAAGGATCTTATTATGTTCTAAAAACCATTCCAAGCGAATCTTAATCATACTCTCCAAAATTTTACCTACACATGAAGTTAATGCAATTGGTCTATAATTTTCAAATGAGCCCTGATCTTTACCTTCTTTTAATATAGGAACCACAATAGTCTCCTTCCATTGTACAGGAACACTACCAGTCTCCAGACTATAATTATAATATTGCAGTAATTTAAGTTGTGCCACGTTAGGGAGATTATTTAATATCGAGAAAGATATATTATCTTTACCAGTAGCCCTATCTTTTCTTCCCTCTAATACATTACAGAACTCATTAAAGGAGAATGGATTTACATCTATATTATTATTAACTATGTTAAACTCCGGATCAATGTCACAGTAAGTTAGTGACTCCAGCAAATTTTGGGCAATTTCTTTATTTGGGAAGCTTATATTATTGTTAGTCATGTAGGACTTAAAGCGCTTAACTACTTTCCAAACTTTTTTAATTGGAGTATCTCTGTTAAGTGTACCACAAAATTCTCTGAAAGATGTTTTCTTTTTAATTTTAAATGTTTGCTTAACAAGAGCTTGAACCCTTTTAAGTTCAATATAATTTACTGTATTCATTTCCAATTTATATTTCCGTATTGCCTGCCTTCTTCTAGCAACTAAATCTGAACACTCCTTATCCCACCAAACATTGTATTTACATTTTCCATTGTTGCTAAAATAAGGAATGTACTTTTCTGCTGACCTGTCTACTAACTCATACCAATTTATATAGTCCAAATCCCCACTAAACGAATTGAATGAAACTTCTAGATCCTTACTAAAGCCATTCCAATCTGATTTTTTAAAATTCCTTTTCCTAACTGTATAAACCATATCCTTATTATTAAATATCTCACATATAGTTGGATAATGATCACTACCACCCAAGTCATTATGAACATACCAGAGACATTCTAATCCTAGCTCCTTAGTAACTATAGTTAGATCTACTGCCGATTCATGTTGACCCGGTAGCCCAACTCTTGTTGGACTCCCATCATTCATTATAATTAAACCCTCCTCTACCAGAGATTCTTTAATAATTTTACCATTATAGTCACAATTGTGACAACCCCAAAGTTGATCATGGGCATTAATATCCCCCATTATAATAAAAGGTTTTGGTGTATTATTTAAAAGTGAATTCCACTGATTGATATTAATTCTATTACCTGATGGGTTATAGACATTAATTATATGAAAATTCAATGAGTTAATTTTTATTGTCAATGTCTGCATGGGTGTTAAAAAATTTACTTCATTAATAAACTGGTGGTCAATTTTATTTTTAATCAATGTAATAATACCCCCATATCCATCAATTCTATCTTGTCTATATGTACTATAGTTTTTTATTTTAAAATAATATGTGCTATTTAGCCAAGTTTCATTCAATAGTACGACATCTGGATTAATTTCTTCTAGAAAATACTTTAACTGATCATAGTTGGATTTTAAACTTCGGATATTCCATTGGAAAATTTTTAATTTATGTTTAGTAAAATTAGAGTCTAAATTATTTTTACCTTTCAAATTCATATTACTATTATTATTATTGCTATTATTATTACAAGAATTGTTAACATTATAGCCTATTCTATCTAGGTCACTTCCCTTGATTTGAGACGTTCTTACCTAATTTAAAAACATCAGGAACTGATATTCTAACTAACTGATCCATAAACTTGAGAACATGTTCTCTATCATATTTGTTTAATTTACTAGCTATATTCATTATATCATTTAACATATGAGATTCACTCTCATTTCTGTTGGTTCTCCCTGAGCCACATGAATAGACCTCCTCTTCATCTACTGAAGGGGGAATATAGTATGTCTCAGTAGAACAGTGTGATCTACCACTTGGGCTTATTAAATATTTATTATGAGCCTTTGCATCATAACCAATTCGGTTTTCACCTTTCCTTTTTTTTCCAGTAACTTGAGAAAAGGAATTTCTTAAGGGGGTTTGTTGTACGTGGGTTGCCCTTCTACTACTGATGGGAATAATATTGTCCTCTGGGGACTCAATACTTGGTAAGGGAGGAAAATCCCTAGAGTGACGTGAAAATTCATTATCATTATTTGACATTCTGGGGAATTTTTCTGATGCTTCAAAAAAGGAAATATTATCTAAAGACATGGCTTCTCTAATCAAGTTTTGACGTTTACGTTCAGGACACATCTTATATGTACTCGTATGTTCAAGCGACTTACAATGCACACACTTCATTATGCAAAACTTCCCTTGTTCATGGACATCTCCACATTTCAAACATTTAATCGCCTTAGTTTTACACATTTTTTTAATATGACCATAATTTAAACAATTATAACATTGAAAAACAGGCATAATGTATGGTAATACCCTGTGTTCTATACCGCATATTTTTACACTGCGAGGCAGGTAGGTACCTGTGAAGGTGAATCGAACCGTCCCCGTCGGCACCAAGTTGACCTCCGAGTCCGCCCCCAGTTCACCATCACCCCCTCCCTGCGGGTTGACCTTCCTCATAAATCTCATAACTTCACTTACTTTGATATTAGCAGTATCAGTTTCAGAATATCTAAGCAACATATCATCAGAGAATGATTTATCAATAAATTTAACTATACCCTTACATGACACATTTTTTGAAGGGATGAACAGAGCATACCCTTTTGCTTTTAATTCCTCATTACTTAAAAAATTATTTGCCTCTTTAAAACCCGAAAATACTACCCCAATTCTATTTTTCCCTTTTTTATTTATCTTTTTAATATTATTTACCTGGAGGTCATAAAGTTCACGAGCAATAGCTAAATAATTATAATTACCTATATTTTTATTATCAAGAGTGGCTTCAATGTATACTTCATATGGGCCTTTATCTAGGTATGTATAATTATCTCTATTTAGACGTTTTTTGTCAGAATTTTTTGTGACATTTTTTACAACCTCATTTTCTATATGATTATTTACATTATCAACAATTGCCGGCTTTGAGCCATCCATATCCACATCTGAAATATCAAGATTGCTATCACTATTAATCAAACTAATTTCACTAGGGGGGCCCGACCCCCCTGAGTTATCTCCCATCTAACTACCTTTTACTTTACTATTTTTTTTTTTTTTTTTAAATTTAATTATATTATATTAAAGAAATCCAAGAGAAAACAATTACTTTTTAAATTATAGGAAGAGAAGGGTTAATTTGACAAAGGAAATATTAGTATTAGCCTTTACCTGGATCTTAACTAGACGAAAAAAAAAAAAAAAACTTTGGCCAGCACAATACGAAACAACTTTGCACTCCAAAATTCAAATCGCGAATCCTTCTTTATCTTTACTTCTTTAACAAAAGTTCAACAACGAAAATGTGTCACTCACTGTCACTGTCACGTATTAGTGTCACTGTCAGATGTCACGTCAATGTCTAAGTCATATAACTTAAATTAGAGATGGATAAAGCAAGCTATTTTTAAGAACCAGTGACGACTGCACATAGCTTATATCCTATCTCTGTGAAAGACTGCTTCTACTACGACAGAAAAGCAGTGACAAATTCGATTTTTCGAATCAACTTTTAAATATTTCACATACGTTTGTTATGGCTATATTCAGTAATATTTAATTTATTGTAATATTAGAAATGAGGGTTCACTTTTTTACTAAATATATTGCCCCGACAAAAACTACTATAGACTAATCTATTTATTCATTATTAAGTCCTTAGGCCCAATTCTACCGCTAGTAGTTATAAAATAAATTAGGTTTAACATGACATTTTTTCATTAACAATTTCATTTCAATCTTCGCTTAGGGCTGATTCCATCGTTGTGTTAAACGAAATTTAAATAACTTAGGGCCGATTCCACCGTTGTGTTAAACGGAGATTAAAATGACATTGTTAATGTAAAAATGTCATTTTGAACTTCGTTTAACACAACGGTGGAATCAGTCCTAAACGAAGATTAAAATGACATTGTTAATGTAAAAATGTCATTTTTTATATTCTTCGCTTGGTAATTTAAACTTCGTTTAACACAGGAATCGGCCCTTATTTATTACAAGCATTCAGATTATTGTGCTCTTCATATTAGACATACAGAGCTGTCGCATCGGCTGCCGCATTAGAAAAGAGCAAGCTGGTTGTTGAATTCAGTTAGACTTTATTCCGTTGCAACACTGTAAATATATTATGAACTTTCCTGCAAATTACCTTCAGCTACAATTAATAATATTTGCAACCAGAAAAATAAACAGATAAGGTTTGTTCTGGTTATCAAAATGAAAACTGTTTTGAAACTACGCCGGACCGTGTGCGTAAAGGCAAAAAAATCCCTGGCTGTTTGAAATTGTTGGAAAACCAGAACACATAAAGATGTTTTGTTAATTGTTTATTATGCAGTTTCTTTTGAAAGCTCAGCTTCAAATAATATTTGCATGTATATGTTCATCATTATCATCCTCGTCGCATTTCAATGGAATAAAAAAACCGGGAGAATAATGTTAAAAAATTAATAATTTTAAAATTGCCTCAATCTACAAATAAAACAAGAACAAGAGACATTCGTCCACAATAAATAAACAATTTGGGATTGTATTAGGCATTCCAACGACCTGTCCAAATGGCTACCAGTGGGTAATGACAGTTTAGATATGGCAACCCTGTTGTCACGTTGTCATTAACAGGGTCAATGATACATATATAGTTATATAGATTGCTCAAAGCTGGTCGTTTAGGAGCGGCCATATTGCTTGGCAAATATTTATTAATTTGAATCGGTTTAGCAAAAATATGTTTTAAAACCAATTTTTAACCTTTAGATATTTAAAAAAAATAATTGCTTACATTTTTAGTTCAAGGCATACGCTTATGTTTATTTTGAAAAATATGGATAATCAATCTATGTAACTATCTATTTAATTGACCTTGTCAAATCACCAGGCCTACAGGGTTGCCATAATTTTGCCATATCATAACCCGTCAAAACCCACTGGTAGCCATTCAGTTTGGAATGCCTAATACATTCTGTATGGTCTTAAATGCTAATATAATATTCATAACAGTTCAAAAACGCATCGAGTCGATCCACACTCCGAAGCATGAACACATTTTGACTATTTACAACAATCACGGATTATTTCGGATACGAAACCAGAACACGACTGAGAAATTCGAAGTAGTCCGAGAAAAACCAGAACACTTTTAAACTACTGCCCATGAGCCCGACAGTTGCGGATCGTTATTTCTCAAAACCAGAACAGACCTAACGACTGAATGATTTGAAAATTCGGAAGCAAACATCAAAAATCCCCTTACGAAATATTAAGACTATCCCCGAAAATTAAAGGTGAAAACAAATACTTGTGTGCTCCGCGGAGCCTTGGGGCTCCGCAAAGCCTTTGTGGGGGCTCCGCTAAGAAAATAATAGTCATTATCAAAAAAAAGTGAAGCAGTACTATGCTGAAGTTCGCCAGTTGGATTGAGGACTTTTTTTGCTTGAGACCTTTTTTAGAAATGTGTTTAGGGCTCCATCAACTATTTCTCTCTTCAGAAAGGTTCCGTCGCCAAAAAAGTTTGAGAATCACTGCACTAGACCTCCCGCCAGACAGAAGTTTGATGTGCTAGTTCAGGCCGGACGACGCTCAGGTTCGTTTTCGAATATTCAATAACTGCCACTAAGAATGCAAATATACTTTCTTATTGTAATTTTTAAACCCTTTTGTGCATTTAGAGCCTTAATTATGTCTTTTCCGAATTATAATCATATATAAACAATCCTTGTAACAAGACTCTTATATTAATTTGGCGGGGTGGGTGGCTGGGTGGTTGAAGTCTGGACTTTCAGATCCAATGGTCCCGGGTTCGAATCCCGCTGGTGACGGAATTTTTATTTAATTTAATAGGTAGAAAATCGACCACCTACAAACGAAATGCGCAGGCTCATCTGTCGTGGACATGTCGGCGACATGTTTCACGAACAGACCTAATTAATTAAAAATTAATCCTAATGCATAGGCAGGATTCCTTAATCGAACATTCAACGTTAGGTTGTAATTAGCAGTGCTGTTCCTAAAGTGGCGCTGGTAAATAGTAACAAAGCCTACACAGCACACGAGACTAATATAATTGTGTACACGTGTATATTCCATATTCCGACGTAAAGCGCGGAGCAAAGTCACTGGGCGGGGGCGCAGAGCGAGTTGCTCCAGTGACAAGTGAAAAGTAGTAACGTGCCAAAACTGGTGTTCTGCCTGGTGCAGGAAATCGATTGCAACCCATCTCTAACTGAAATGTCACGTTTCAAGAATAAAATTTAAAAAATCAAAGATTTATTGAAAAAATTATAGAGACTTGCGGGGATTTTAATGTTAATTAGAAATTATGAGTTTAACGAAATTATCGAGACTATCATTCCATCCGCTTAATTTAAATAGATTTCTTTTACGGAAAAATAGTTATAAAATTCGTGAAAATCGTCCAGTAACCTCTAACCTAACGTCTAAAAAAAATGTAGTTAATTTTAGAGAGAGAACTGTGAGATCTATATTATCGGAGAGAACATTTTTAAATCAAAGACATACATCGGTAAGATGTTTTGCAACTAAACCACCCGATGGGCCCGATGGTACTCCACAATCATCTGGTGGCGAGGATGACTACAATCCACAGCTTCCAGCAACTGTAGCTGTTCCAGAAGTCTGGCCCCATGTTCCAGTTATTGCTATAAGTAAAAATATAGGTTCGTACAAAAACAGACAGTGTAAAAATAAGCCATTTCATGTATTAAAAGTATCTACTTTCACTATAAATTTAATGGTAAAAGTCTAGTTTGAGCTCTTCGATTACGGAAAACTAAGCATACGTACATGTATGTATCGCTATTGTAAACAAAAAACCTAAGTTCCATAACTTGTCCAAATGAATATTGACAAATAATTTTTTAAATGAAATTATGCTATTTTTTCAATTTTAAGGGGAAAGGAGTGAATAGGTACTTATAGGGATGCTGGGTGAGTAAAAGAATGTCAATAGTTGTAATATTATAAAATATTATTAGGGCAAGGAAAATTATTAGAAATTGATTGATGGACTTTTGATAATAAATAACTGGATAGTAAACTTTTTGTGTGACTTGCCAACAGTATAAGAGGTAAAAGTATCATCTCTGAGGTTTGATTTGAAAAAATTTGTGAAATATTTTTATTTAAAAAACAATTTTTTTCATTTGCACTAGATATGAAACTAAAATTTGTGTTTACAATAGTGATACCTACATATGCTTAGTTTTTTCATGAGCAAAAAGAGTCCAAACTAGATAATGATCAAATTAATATACCATTTATTTAGTTTACAAATAATTTTATTAACAAATATTATTTAAAAAAACTTAACTTTAGTATTTTTATTGTACAGTATCTTACCTTGCTCCTTAGATCTGAAACATAGTGGACAAGGACAAATAATGTCCAACTCCTTTCAAATCTAATCTGCACTGCTTCTTACTTGGTCATATTACAGTCCTAGTTTGTTTCTAAGGCACAAACATTCGATATTTGTTATATTTTAAGATATATTACTGAATTTCTAACATGTATTACCACTTCAGTGTAAACATACTGTAAGGATTCAACTATGTACCTACCAAGATATTTTTCTGACTTAGAAGTAAAAAAAAAAACGATTTTTTAGAGTTGTGTGTTGAATAATCTATTATGATTGTTAAGAAACTTTGAATTTTTCTGAGTTCTAAATCTAAATCTCCTATGCTTCCATAAATCTCAGATAAATTTAGCTAAATTATGTTCTCCTCTTTTTTTTGAAAATGATGCTGAAAAATTAATTTTTTTACAGTATTTCCTAGGTTCATAAAATTAATCGAATTAACAAATCCCCAACTGATACAACTAATAAGGAGGAAAGTCAAATTAAATCAACCATACTGTGGTATCTTTCTTAAGAAAAAAGAAGATAATGAAACTGAAGTTGTCAATAACCTAAATGAAATTTATAACATAGGCGTTTTTGCCCAAATTCATGAAATGCAAGATTTAGGGGACAAACTGAGATTAGTTGTTATGGCACACAGACGCATTAAGATAACTGGTCAAATTTTTGATACCGTTGCTGATCTCAAAGGTAAGTGGTACAGTAAAAATATCACTGGTGAGCTGAAAATATCTTTTAATTTTAGCAATTTGTCTAAGAGCTAGTTATTTGAAATAAGTGGACCACCATTATGTGTCACTGTGTAGAACCCTGTTTATTTTCTGGACCGTGTATCCTATTTTCCAAAAGATTTATTTTCTTTCTTTACAAAAAAATTAATGTAGCTTCAAGTAGAGTTTATTATGAATTGTACAGGGTGTTAGTATATTCAACCAACAATGCTCTACCCAAGAAAGCACTCATTAAATTTTGATATAGAAACATGTACCCTTAAAGAGCTCAGTTATATATTTTTAATGTTTTTGATTTATAGCCAATTTTGAATTTTAATTTAAAAATTTTAACACCCTGTATTTTGGTAACTAAGCTCTTTAAGGGTTTATGTTCCTATATAAAAATTAATTAATTAACGATAGCTCTCTGTGATTGGCACTTGTTGTTTCTCAGAGTCGTTGCACATATGATTTCACAAGATTAGTTGATCTGTTATTCACTGAATTGAAGTGCTTACAAAAATAGCGTCTTGTGACAGTGTATGAATCGTTGACCTTGAAATAGGCCTCTATTATAAAAGCACAATGCTCGCCTGACCACTCTGCTGTAGTAATTAAAATATACATTCGTTGGTTACCTATTCGCATAACTGGGTCACTCCCACTTTTAGACATACGAAAACTGAAATGTCCTCTGAAACACCCTATAGATAATGTACATGTTTGTTTAAAAAAGTATTTATTTTACCCTCTTCTACATAATTATTTTATTTATTTTTACCCACCTCTGCAAATTTGGTATAGTCACTTACAAATGTAGCTTGAAAATACCATATTGATAGTTTTAATTTTCATTCTCTACTTCCGATACTTTTTCATAAGACTTTAAATTTTTATTCACTCTACCAGTGTGTTTTTACTGTTTAATTTAAATAAGAACTTTAATAACTTGATATACAGTTTCCAGAGTAGAATGATCTTTATAAACTTTCTTATTTTATAATTTTTTTGGATTATTTTTTATGTTTTCTAGAAAACTTGAAACAGACGAATGTTAATGTCTTTGATATTTTTTTTGTAAAATTTGTATGAGTTGACAAATATCAAGTATCTAATATTTTTTTATTAATAAAATCAAAAGACTATGAGACATTGGAATCTCTTATTTTTTTCCAAATGAATTAAAGAGAAAAGTTTTACAAGGCATATTTTCTAATTGTTTCATCAATACACCATTGAGACTATTGGTGATTCCTCTGGTGGAACATTAATAAGTTCTGCTAGTTAGCCCCTTCCATCAAGTATAAGTAGCACTATAAATATGGCTCTTCTTTCTTTACTTAAATCTTCTCAAACGCTCATTAACGGTTAGTTCGGGTCGAAATTATTTTCATTTTTAGAGGAGCCAGAAACTGAAAAACGAAGACGAAAATTACGAACAATTAGAGCAATAAAACCCTTTTCAGGACGTCCCGTGGAACAGCCGAAACCTCAACCGACGGACCAAAAGGCAAAAGAATCGCAACTACCTCCCAAGAAGGTTTATTAATGGCTGAAGTTGAAAACGTTGTTCATAACAAATTTAGACAAACTGAAGAAGTAAAAGCATTGACTCAAGAAGTGATCAAGACAATAAGAGATATAATAAGCTTAAATCCTTTGTACAGAGATAGTTTGCAACAAATGATGCATCAAGGGCAAAGAGTTGTGGATAATCCTGTATATTTGAGTGATTTAGGTGCTGCGTTGACTGCTGCGGAAAGTAAAGAGCTTCAAGAGGTTCTTGAAGAAATGGACGTAGGTTAACTTTTAATCTGAAACTAAGGTTTAATTTTGCTTGGCTTTTAAAATTTTGTCGCTGTCATTCAACACCAATTTTGAGATAAGATTTCGAAGCACAAAAGCCTACTTTGCATAGTGATAGTAGAAAAACATTTTTTTTCATTATTTGGAAAAGTTATAAAATCATTTTAAAGAGTATATTTGGGCAGCATAATTTTTTAAATAGCATAGGCCAAGTTTTAACAAAATTCACCAAACCATTTATTTGATTTTATGTTTGCTTTTAGATAGCTAAGAGATTGATGTTATCATTATCATTATTGAAAAAAGAATATGAATTATCTAAATTGCAACAAAAAATAGGCAGAGAAGTAGAAGAAAAAGTTAAACAACATCATAGGAAATACATTTTACAAGAACAGTTAAAGGTATATATTGATTTAGTATTGATTTTATTTGCTATTGACAGTATTGACATTGCAGGTAATTAAAAAGGAATTGGGTTTGGAAAAAGAAGACAAAGATGCAATTGGTGAAAAGTTTAGAGAGAGAATTAAGGACAAAAAGTTACCGCAGGCTGTTTCTTCTGTTGTTGAAGAAGAATTAAATAAGATGGGCTTTTTGGAAAGTCATAGTTCAGAATTCAAGTAAAGTTAAACTTATTATAATTAATAAACTATTTAACTACATACATATATTTTGAAATTAATTGTATAACTATATTACTGTTGCGGCTTCATTAAAAATATTTTTATGAAGTATAGGTATTAATTTTTAGTGTAACTCGAAACTACCTGGACTGGCTTACTTCATTGCCGTGGGGCGTTCAGAGTGAAGAGAATTTGAATCTAGAAAGAGCCTCTGAAATTTTAGATCAAGACCATTATGGCATGGATGATATTAAAAGACGTATTCTCGAATTTATAGCAGTTAGTCAACTAAAAGGCAGCACTCAAGGAAAAATTTTATGCTTCCATGGACCTCCAGGAGTAGGAAAAACCAGTATAGGTATATAACTAATACCTATTCATTTTAGTTTTTTATGATTATTGATGATAATTTTAGTATAATAACAAAAATAGTTCCATTTACCATTATACAGGTTGTAAAACTGTTAAATGAAATCTTTTCAGTCGCTAGAGTTTATTATTCCACGTTGTTGTATTCGGTCCCATTTCTATTTCAAAGTTTCTAAGCCTTTCATTGGCTTTTCTTTCTTCCCTCCCTTTACAGCTTTTCGACTTAAACTATTATTTGCCGTGGAGCTTTAGGTTAATTTATTGATGATTGATGGTGTCATTTGTTGACTATTCCATTTTTCATCTTTGGTTTCGATATTCTTTAATTCATTTACACTGCTTTTGATTGTTATTTTTTTTTTTTTTTGATTAACTTAATAAATTTGTATCATTAGACTCCAGTTGTATTTTTCACTAAAGTAAACTGATTTGCACGATTGCACTTCTGACACGTAAAAAATGGACAGCTAATTTTTTTGCCATACAGTGTTCTAGTGTTGCAAATGGAGAGAATCTGCATTTAAAAATTACAGAATAGGTACGCGATTTTATCAGAAGTCACCATTAAAATGCAATAGTGGCTAATTAAGTGATGGAAATGTGTTAAAAGATGAATTTGCAAAGCGATAGTGCATTCTACTAAATGGAATACGCTGTAATATTTGATGAATAAACTATAAGCATCATTTTATGACAGTTCATAATTTAGAAATACCCGGTACGGGTCGCTGACCGCTGCGAAAGGAATTTAAAACACCGATCACAGGCACAGCAATGGTGACCCGGCAACAATCTCGGATCTCGGGGGCCCATTTAGAAGGTAGAATATATGGGTAGAATGCATGAGTTGAATGAATATTGGGAAGGAGTAGGGCATCCAAATGGTAGTACAATACGCGCATAATGCTGTAGTGCCGCCATTCGAACTACAGAAGAGGGAAAATCAAGCTGGAATCCAAGCCTGTTTGGGTGGAGTTGTGAAAATAAAGAGAATATCTGAAAATCGGTTAAAATCCTCGCTGTTGGAAATGGTGTTACCGTGATTATTTAACATTATAATTATATCAACCAATCCCCTTTTTTCCCAACACATGCCAATCAAAACAAAGATTTAAAAAATTCAATTCATTACCAGAGTAACATATCATTCTCGGTATCAATGATTTATGTGAAACGTCAATGTTAAATCAAAAATGTGACAAAGAGGAACAAATGGTTTTGGTTGTCAAATTTTAATATTAATTTAATTTTAATATTAATTTCGTAAACAAATAAAATTAACGTTAAATTGTGCTTAAAAGTTCTGTAATATGCTTTCCAAATTCCAGATGAGGTAAGATTTCGATTACAATAAGAACACAGCTACATCATCATTTGGAAAAGTAATTAATTGGCTATCGCCGCCTACTGAGGGTTTAGGAATACGAGTATAGAAAATATTTTTTTATACCTGACAACTTATTTTTTATTTAATAATAGTTATAGAAAATATTTATTCGAAATTCACAGTAATGGTTATTACATAGCGGTGTTCTTATTGTAATCGGATTCTGTTTAATAGCATTTTATTTTTATTATTTTTAAAATTATATATAAACTACTTTTTTTACGACTTACAAAAAATATTAAAAAAAAAAAAAAAACTAGAAACGAATATGTCCAATGTCAGAATGGTTAGTTTTTATAAAAAATTAACTTATTTGTGAAACACAAGTTACGTCACACCAATATAACTTATACACTGTCGTCTTTAATGTTATATTATTTTTTTCCATTTTTTTTAGCTCGTTCAATCGCGAGAGCTTTAAATAGGGAATATTTCCGATTTTCCGTCGGAGGAATGACTGATGTAGCTGAAATTAAAGGCCATAGAAGGACTTACGTTGGCGCTATGCCCGGTAAAGTGATACAGTGTCTTAAAAAAACACGAACGGAAAATCCCTTGGTTTTGATTGATGAAGTCGACAAAATTGGAAAGCAAGTTAATTTTAATTTAAAAACAACTTATAATTTTTTGTGTTAATTTTTTTTGTTTTGAACATTCTCATTATGAGCTAACTAAGAATTCAATTTTAGAGGTTATTCCGGCGATCCAAGTTCAGCTCTTTTAGAATTACTCGATCCAGAGCAAAATTCCAATTTCTTAGACCATTATCTAGACGTACCAGTTGATTTGTCAAAAATCTTATTCATTTGTACAGCCAATGTCGTAGATACCATTCCGGAACCGCTAAGGGATCGCATGGAGATGATCGATATGTCAGGCTATGTAGCTGAAGAAAAATTAGCTATTGCTAAACAGTACTTATTGCCTCAAGCTATGAGGGACAGTGGTCTAAAAGACGATACCATCAAAGTAGAAGATGATGCACTGACCATTCTGATTAAAAGTTATTGCAGAGAAAGTGGTGTAAGAAATTTACAGAAGCACATTGAAAAGGTAAGAAAACATTTTAAAGAAATGATTAGATGTTAGAAATAATAGGGTATATTTATATCTCGCAATATGGTTGTCATCAGATTGGTACTACATAATCGTTATTTATGCAACAAGTGTGTACAGTTACTCTTTTTTGATGAATGTGAATGTTGTCGCACGAATCAAAAAAGGGATTTTACACACGCGTTGCATACAATACTACCGTACACATCCACTAATATTATAAATATAAAAGTTACTTTTGTTACTTTAGTTTTACTTTACGAACTACGCACGGTAGTAGAAAAAATGTATTTTTTTACCTTTGTTATACATTGCAATGTATATTAAATGTAAATTGTCATAATATAATGTTGTGATATCCCTGATACCAATAAAGAATTTGAATTTGAGTATTCAGTTAACTAAAAAATTATATCTTATGTCTATATTTTATTTGCGCATTACATTTTAGAGATCCTAACTTTTTGTTAAAAATTCTTTTTTAACAATTTGCCAACTTTAGAATTGAAAAATAATTTCTTTATGGCAAAATACGGAAACTATTTCCTTTTTTTAGGTACTTTTCAAATTATTTCAGTATTTTTACATGTTACAAATATTTTACATGTATAATGAAAAATACGGATCAATTAATTAAACATTTAAAAGAAAATTGATATTAAAAACTATTATCGATTATTATTCGCGCTCAAAACCGGCCAATAGAATTATTACACATTATTACAAAGTACCCAGAAGGTGAATATTCTCTTCTCTCATAATATGTGGATCGTTTTAGTTATTAGTAAAGGGTAAAGTTTCGTATCTGTAAAATTGTGTACATGAAATTATATGTTTTAAATTATAATTATCTAGTATGTTTCTAGTTTCAGATAGGTTGTTTTATTAATTAGTGATTGTCAATTTGGATTTACATAAGCAAAGAATTTTGATTCTATTATAATAAAGTCTTGTTCTACCATGCACCTGATTTATGGATTGGTTTTCCACACAATGGATTAAAAAAATGACTACTAAAATATCTATATAGTGGGCACTAAATTATTCAGAAATGGTTGTGAAGTGTTTGCGCAAATCTGTCTCTTCCAGTTGCCTACGAAAAATATTGTACTATAAGTCTATTTTTATTAAATTTTTATTAAAATAATAAAGCGTTCATAATCCATAGGAGTACCACTTCTTTTAGTAGACAGTTAAAATATTTTTTGAAGTTATTCCTCGAGTATACACTTATATTTTCACCTAATTAACCTGCTTATAACTTCTAAACAGCTGAAGGTAAAAAGTGCAATTTGTTCTAAAATGTTTTATTTTTCCACAAGGTATGTGAAGAACATTGTGTCAAACGGGTTATGTAGGTATATGGGTTTAAACTTTGACTTTTAAACAACGTTACGTCCATAAATAATAATTTTAATATACAAACTACTTCTTACCTATAAATCCAAATCGTAATCGAAATCAGAAGATGAACTGTCTCTCATACATAAACATAGACTATAGGTTTAGGCTAGGCTACTTTTTATTCGACTTAATAATCAGAGGATTATGTAATAAATAAATAAATTGAAAAAATGTCACAATCGGTATGGCCGCTATTTCGAAAAAAAAAAACCACTTACAGTGTTATATTTTTATTCATTATCGTCTGAAGAAGACTCGTTGGATGACGAACAACTATAATCACCATTGCTTTTATTTAAGTTTATAACCAATGATTCAACTCCATTCTTGTATCGAGATCTCACATTTTGTCTTCTTCTTTTATCGTGTGGCTGATGTAATTTTTCCATAGCTCAGGCGTGACATTTTTTATCGTAATATCTAGCAGGCCTTTTACCTTGTACATTGTAAAAGTCAAGTTTTCTCTCACAACTTAGTTTTTTATTTGAGCCCATATTAGCTCGATACGGTTTAGCTCATAATAGTGAGGAGGGAGGCGGTGTACAATTATCTACTCACAAGCCATTTCATCGACAACATATTTCTTAAACTTAGGTATATGTTCCCTTGCAATATTTAGTAATTCGTCTTTTAATATTTTATCATCGAATGGTATCTTTTTTTGAGATAGGCAGTTAGTGATATTAGCTTTTCACCAGGCAGTTGTTGGTGATGGCTCCAATTGTCTACTGTGGTAGGACGCATTGTCCATGACGATACAGAGTTTGTAAAATCTTTGAACACCAGCTTTCGAACTTATGCGCATCCATTTCCTCATGGTAGCGTTGGTTTTCTTGGACTCGAAGAGTAACAAGCCATTTTTCAAAAAACCCGAATCGCTACCTATATGTGTTATTATGAGTCTCCGTCCTTTGCTAGCTGGCGCTTTTAATTCTGTTGACAGGTCTTTAATTAAATCTTGTCGAAGGCTTTTTATTTCAAAATCTTCCCACACCTTTGAAACAGTCTATGGCCTTGAAAATTAAACGTTACACAATCTGACGAGTATGAAACGTAACTTCACAAAGTGCCGATATTTAAATTTAATCAGATTATGTTACGACATAAGCCGAAAGAATGTGGTCTCTTCACAAAAAGCCTCGGCAGATTGTGTAGCTTGATGATTTTACACAATACCACGACACTTCATGAGGTGACTAGAATTTCACTGTAAGACTAGGGACATATGCAAAGTAAACTACTTGGTTAAAGTAATTTAGAAATAAATTAATCAAATTCCAATAAGGTATTACATTACCGGCATAATCTCATAGAATACTAAGAACAGATTAATGCTACGCCCCTGAATGTTTTCTTGCCCTGGGACACCGATCGGTCCAATATGTATATCTCTCTCTACCTTACGGCAACTTAAATCTGTTGTTCTCTTCTCCTCCTCATTGTCATATCTGTGTACACAACGTTGCCATTTAAGTTTTAGATGCAGAATATCATTCAAATTTTTTATATTTTTTTAATAAACATTGACGTTGCTGAATACATTTCATTACCAGAAAGATACGAGTACTTTAACGCATAAAATACGTTGTCCGATATTCTATGGCTATTTATAGACATGTGAATGATTAAAATAGAAAATGTTAAAATATCTGGAATCACAACTGGATAACAATGTTTTCGTTTAAAGGCAATAATATTTCTGAGAATTTAGTGTCTACTATTTTGGAACTCAGTTTTATCATAGCTCATTGTTCAAAATGGTAACCAATATATTGAATACATATCATTACTCTTTCAACACAATTTCTTGCATTGCCGCTCGATTTATCTCTGGTTTCTTTCTTCACGTGCATTATGTTTTGTCTCCAGACATTCATCACGTGTATCGATTTTATCCCTATAAACTATGATTTTTAAGTAATACTACCATACTCAATGGGATTGAAATCTGGTAACTTTGCCTTCCAGTTAAGAAATTTACCATTGTCTATCCATGTTAGGAAAGTATATTTTAGAAAATCTCTAAAATGTGGTTGAGGTATAGCACCAGCTTGCTGTAACTACATGTCCCTAAAATTTTCATTTTCCAGAGATCCTGGAACTTGATTTAGCGAGTACTATTTTTTTAATTTGTCTATACTATTTACATTATTTCTTGCTGTTAATTTAATTTTCTATTATTACTTATTATTTTTTATTGTTTAGCCATGCTTTTAAATCCGTTTTGTATAATCGGTCAGTGTTCTCTTTAATTAAGAAGTACTGACTCAACACAAAAGGTAATAACTGAGGCGTAAAAATATATTTGAGCTCACAAATGCCATATCAATGACATCGTCGTTCTTATTATGAGCTGATCAGTTTAAAATAGTAATGGGACTTTTCATGAAAAGTAATTTTTGGACATGTCCGGAAAAGTAATGAAAAGTAGTGAAAAGTCACAATAAATAGTGGACGTTGAACATAGAAAACACAAATAAATGTTTGTCCACCTTGGAAGTTTTCTCAAAAACACTGTGACCAATATTTCCATTTGTATTTTCTTTTTTTTTAGGCAAATAATTTGTAAAAATACTTCCATCCTTTGAGTTTTTTGGTAATTTTTTTTTTACATTTTTATTTTAATGCGATATTAAACGAAAATTAAAATATATAAAAGTCGGTAGTTATATGTCGTTTCTTCTTTTTTAAACTATATTTTACATTGGTTTGTAAGAAGTTCAGGCTAATTAGCTAATTTAATATCGCGCATGCGCCATATATTTTCCCCACTTTTGAAAAGTATATTTGGACTAGTCAACTTTCAAGACCAGTCCGTTAGACTTGTCTGTGGACTGTTCCAAGCGACCCATCACTAGTTTAAAACCCATTATTTAAAATAATAAAATTTAGAGGAGATATGAGATTGTCTAACCAACATGGTCTCTCAGATCATAACACCAATTTAATTCTATTAACGGAATTAATTTTATTTATAGGTGGTTAGGAAGGTAGCCTATAAAGTTGTTAAAGAAGATGCAACTTTTGTACAAGTTAGTAAAACAAACTTACAAGAATTTGTTGGAAAACCAGTATTTACACATGATCGTATGTATCCTGTTACCCCACCAGGTGTTGTCATGGGTTTAGCTTGGACAGCCATGGGTGAGTTTTTTAAATTTATCTGTACTTTTTTGAACAAATAACTGAAATATAAATAGAGAAGTGCTTCATTTTTAATTAACGCTTTTGTTTTAAAATGTTTCCTTTGTTCTAGCCATTTAATCCCTCCTGTGATGATGTCCGGTTTACTTACTAAATAAAAGAAAGAAATTAATTGATAATATTGATTATTTCCCTCGCCTGTCAACTTTGACATTATAACCAATCACATCGCAATTTACGTTATATTAGAACCAATCAGAAACAAATAAATTGACTATTCACTATTTCATATCGACTATCATGCATGGTGCTTGATATTAGCATATGGTGACAGCAACTTGTATTATAGGTGTAATATTTATTAACGGCTACTGTCAAATATTAATTGTCAGAGTACAAGCTAATATCTCGAATGAAACGAAAATATAAGTTATTTTATTGTATATTTATTTTTTTAACTTACATCTAGGGCTGTAGAAATAATCTCATTAAATATAACTCGACCTTAATAAATTGGCGCCCATTTCTATTGCTACTAAATTTTCTCGGACTCTAATCAGATTACAAACGACAAAATTATGTCTCAACAAATTGATTGCAAAAATACTTAAAATTTAGATCCAATAAAAATAGTCGACTATTTATCAAGGTTTCCTTATATTACCCTTTATAAAATTGTTCAAGAAATGGCAGCACAGTAACGTAATGCTTATTATTTTTATCATAATAAATTGTAACTATTGTTCTTCACACATTAATAACACATTTCTTACCAAAAAATGTAATATTTTAGGTGGTTCTACCTTGTATATAGAAACAACAACCAGAAAACTTCCCGGAGATAAAGAAAACGAAGGTAGCTTAGAACTAACAGGGCATTTAGGCGAAGTAATGAAGGAATCTGCCAAAATTGCCTTAACAGTAGCTAGAAATTATTTACAAAAACACGATCCTGCTAACAGATTTTTATATGAAAGGTAAGTTTCGTTTTTTAATACATTATAATTAATACATTAGATATGACATTATTGCTGGAACGTCTAGCATAGCGTGTTTGCAAAATTTCGAGTCAAAGTCAATCATTTTTAAAAAATAATGGAGTTCAACTGTTTCTTATTTCCAAGCCAGGATGGGTGCAAAAAACGGTTGTGTTAATATTTTATTATCCATTAACTGGTATATATATTTTTTCTAATGTAACTGGTATTTTGGGGTCACAATTTAAAACTGGTATAAGGAGAAAACAAAAGTCGATAAACATTTTTGGAGAAACAAGCTTATACTTTTTTTTATTTGATCTCAGGGTGTCTGTGAAAGTCAAATATCGCTCACTCTATATAGGAAGATTAACACTGTCACAGTTCTTCTAAAATGTAACGTTGCCACATCGTTTTGTTGATATTCATTTGATATTTCCGATTATATTTCAAACTTTAGAGTTTTTATGGAAATATGTTGCAAGAAACAGACACGCCATCTCTAAATTGGAGTGAGAACACCGATTATCTTTCTGACAGCGCCTCATCATCATCTACTAACTGTATAATCCAGGAGACAGTGACGATTTTCGGTATTTATTTTCCCAGTCAGCAAACACGGATAGAGAATTGTAGGGTTAGCAATTCTAAACAAAATTTATATATATTTAGAGGAGGGGGGTCCGTTGGGTATACGCAAGGACTCAGAAATAAAATCATATATCACAATGTTTCTCCTCACCAGTTGGTTTATTTATAGAAATAAAACATAATAATTGAAGAAATTACAAAAGAAAATAGGGAGATAAATTACATTTCCTTTCACACTTTTATATAATAATTATTTTATTACTGTTTAGTTTTAGAATTTCTTTACAGTTTTGACACAAGCCTACTCTACATTAATTATAATTATTGTTAGTTTCGTTATGTCAAATCATTTATACTAGAGGTGTGAGGAAAAGACAGTGAACTGTGAAACGCCAATATCGTTGGGTGCGCGTGGTAGAAATGATCCTCTAATGCTGCTAAAAACATAGCTAAATGTTAATGAAAACACTGTACTTTTGACATTTGCGATACTCCGACGCATACGCATTATTGATGTAATTTCATGATTTTATAGTACTAGTTTTTGCAGTTTTGAGTGTGATTTTAAGGTTATTACGGTAATTCGTCTTGTTTGGTTCTGATCTTTTGCGCTTTTAGAGTATCTGTCTTTTATAGTTATTGTTTTTAATTTTAATTGTGTGATTTATTTATATTTGATTGCTGCTTTTCGATTAGTGCTTTGTACTTTTTGTATTAAAATACGCTTCATAACCATTAAGTACCTGCTTCTGGTTGATATCTACCTAATCGTCATCGGGTTCTTGCAACAATGGAAAAAAGTGTATGGTTTTTTGATGTAAAAGTCGGACGCCTTCATTTTTCAGGTAAGGACGACTAGTTATTTTTTACTTAAAAGGATAGCAATACGTCATGGTTCGGGGTGCGACTGTTGGGTTTTAGCTATCTGAGCCAAATTGTCGGCACCCAGAACCGAAAACTATATAGTTATATATCATGTTTATTTTAATTAACTTTTAATATATATGCAGCTTGGATGAGGGCTATTTAGGAAAGGATCCTAAGACTGAAACGCTGACTTCCATAAATGCCATTTTTAGAGCACATTTCATAGAAAGTGACTAGGAAACGTTTAAAAAACAGCTATTACTTTAAGACCTCGCCTCTTTAATAAGTTAATATTACTTCATTCTAAAGCATATATTAAAATGGTTTTTAACTTGTGCCCTTATGATTAAAAGATGTAGGTATTCTAGTTATGTTATAATAGAACTATATGATACATTGTACTGACCTGCTGGTCACTGGCCATTCCACTTTTACTCCATTTTTTCATAAATTGTCAAATTATTTAAAAACAAATACCTAGCTATTTTCTGTAAATGACATTAAAACTGTAAAAAACGTATTTCTCATCTATTACATTGTTATTAACGATAAAGAATACTTTAAATTTATTAAAACAAAAATAAAATCTGAATCGATAACTTAAATCACTGAAAATAAGTTGCTTGGAGTCGTTTTTATGGAAAATTTTAGTGTTAATACTTTACTAATAAAACTACAGTTAATTTATCTTAGCGCGTTTTATTTAAATGTAAATGTATTACCCCAATGAAATTAATGCCGCTAATCAAGGTTTTAGGCCTCGTCACTTTAACCTTTTTATGCTCCCAATGGATATGTGTGTGTAAAGAGATCTATTGTTTCTATCAGGCTTAACACTCTCCATTAGATCCTACTTAAAAAAAGCCTCCAGACTATCTGAAGGTGAATTTAACAATTTTATATATTGGTTTATCTATTGCAAATGACTTTCAAAAACAAACGTTTGTTACTCTTAGAGTAAGAAATAAAATCTGTCAATACTTATTGCATAATAATTTTGTTTTTTAAAATAGGTGGCTCTGATTCCATATAAAATGTTTTCATATTTTTAAAAATAAGTAACTGCCCTATTTTCTATTTTTTGACATTCCCGTATATGGTTAAAAATGTGAAATGATTACTTAGTGGTATGGACATACCTTTAGGAAAATATAACGGAAGGGTTAATTATATTTATTTACAACCATATATGTAATGTTATCATTACTAACGTCATTGAAGGTTGGGAAGATGAAGATGAATATTTTTTTATATTTAAAAAAATAACACATTTTTTTGACAAATTTTATAATACCTATTCAATGGCAAACGTTGGGTTCTAATTAACAGTGCTGTTCCTAAAGTGGCGGTGGGAAACAGTAACAAAGCCTACACAGAACACGAGGCTAATGACCTTAGCAGTCGATGCCAATGACACCAAATTAAAAAAAAAAATAAAAAACAACAATGAACTAAAATACAACAAACTACTTATTGATATTTATTATTTGCGAATTTAATATCCAGCTTTATCTGACATTTATTTATATTGGTTACAGTTGTTTACCCCGTAATCACAGTAACAATATATTTACTTGATTATTCTGAGAAAACCGCGCGCTTAGTAATTTGTCGTTAAATGTAATATTTTAGGTATGTTCAGAACGAAACAGAGATTTATTAACTTTGATCAAAATATGATGGTTGTAAATAAAATAGTATACAAACCTCGGTAGGAAGTTTCATTCCTGTCTCGAGATCATAGATAACCTCGACGCTTCGCGTCTCGGTGATCTAACTAATCTCACGACAGGAATGAAACTCTTCCCACCTCGGTGGGTAATAAACTATTTCTTCTTGTTGAGTTTCAAAAATATTAATTTATCATGATTTAAAAACAAATACATGAAATGGACAAAATAGGCATGTAAAGGCACTTTGTGCGCAATCTCACCTGTATCGATGTAATGCGCGTATTCAATTTAGGTTACTTTTGTTAATAGAAACTGGCGTTCCATTTTAAATATACAGTTCACTGGGAAAAGATTATTTAAATATACATCGACCAGGAAAACGAGTACGAAAACAAATCTATGACCCTACTCACAAATACTACAATAACGGTCGAGCTGTTGGAAGATGTAAATTTTTTTTGGATAATTTAAAGACTTTAACAGTATTGCAAGCAAACGTAATTACATTACTACAGTTAAAAACATCGCAAACTTGGCAACAATGTTTTATCCAAATATTTTATTTCTGCCGAGGATCATCCGCGTTGACTTCAGAAATTTTGTAAATCATATCTATTGGGGTACCCAAGAGGTAAAAACCACTATTATTTTATTTTTAAAAATTAGAATTGTTATTTCAAAATTTGTATTTAGACTTTACGTTAGTTTATAAATAACTTTGTTTTATAAAATTTTTGTAAAATTAATAACTAATGGTACTTACCCCTTGAAGCATTTTCATATTTTTCTTATTTATGAACCACTATTATTAATTTTTAAAAATTCGAATTGTTATTTCAAAATTTGTATTTAGACTTTACGATAGTTTATAAATAACTTTGTTTTATAAAATTTTTGTAAAATTAATAGCATTTTTATATTTTTCTAATTTATGAACACCCTGTACATTAGGGTAAAAAAGGCCGATAAATCGCAGGTCCGGTCTAAAAAAGAGTATTTCTGTTTTGTTTTATCGTTTAAAATATTTTTTAAAGGTATAACCTGGTGTAACATTTTCGAAAATCTAAAAACTAATTAATTTATTTACGAAATTTTTTTTAAATATACATATGTATTTCCTATGATTATTTCGGAAAAATATCTAAAAAGTACCTATTTCTACATTTTCTTATGTACAGGGTGTTTGTTGGTAAGTGTGAATGATTTTAGGGAATGTTTGCCGAAGTTATTTTATAAAAAAAAAACATAGATCGAAAAAGCAGAGGGCGCAGTATTTTTTTATCAAAAAAGTGGCACTCTCGCACAAACGCCACTGGTATAAGTAGAAATATTTGGAACACCCCAAAAAATACACATTTGTCCCTTCAAAGTTAGTTTTGCAAATTTAGAGTAAATATCTTTAAAACTAGTTGAAATAATTAATAAAATTTAATAAATTAAAATTTAAACATTCTGTATCCCGGAAACGTAGCATATACTAGTTTGTGCAACAACAGTGGACAATCCACTGGAGTTGTACAGTAACGAAAATCTACAAATTTAAAGTATTATTTTAGGAAAAGACAAAATAACTAATTTTAAAATAATTTATGACTTTACTAATTTGTGAAATAAAATAAACATGAAAAAATATTTCATTTAATTAGTCCCCAGCCCAGATTTGAACTCGGGCCTCTCGGGTGAAAGACAGATGCCGTATCCTCATTTTCACCTCCACATTTAAAATTTTAGTTCTAGTAGTAGTAATTAAATTAGTTTAATATAGGTAGTTTGATTCAAATTTAAGATTTTTTAAAACGTGGTCCAAATAAAAATAAATTAAAATTATTTATGGACACAAAAATTACTCATTTTAATGTATATTTAATC